GGGCCGATGGTACCTGCTGAGTCTTCTTTCTGGCCAGGTATAACCAATTCTCTCTTTGCCATTTCATGCTAGTGCCCAGGTGTGCTGGAAATGCAACTTTAAAAAAAGTTATTTTCTCCATATGTAAAAGAAGCCTTTGGAAGCCAGCATGCTTCACTGTTGTGCATGCCTTGTTTCCTTTCTCACAGTCAAAGTGTCTTTCTCAGCCTTAACTAAACAGTTAGCTCAATGCTATAATTTATCCTTCTGTTTTCATTAGTTCATTAAGGCAAATCCCTCCAGGACTTTGATTTGCATCCTGAAAACCTCTTTTTCTTCTCAGGATAGAGGCTCTTTCCCCTTCATATTTGGACGTACCTGATGCATATGCCAGATACCACAAATAGCCCAGTCTCTTTTCTTTGTTAAGCAACATCTGGACTTCCTTCTGTGCCATTACAGTGGCAGATTTTGACCCGGATTCTCTGTGACATAAGGGGTAAAAGAACAAACTGTCAGGGAGCTGCTCCCACTTCATAGCTTGGTTCAGAGCTGGATACCTTATGTTTTGAAATGTGGATTTAAAGGGAAACATTACAGGAATTCCTTCTTTTGAGACTTAAGCCTGTACCAAGGATGTAAGTGATAGAAGAAAAGGTATTTGTCAGAAGGATAGGTAAGTTTTCCCCCTAACAGCAGATTCCTGTGCTGAACCAGCACAGTCCTCCCTAGGAGCGTGCTCCCACCTCCACTTGCTTCTGTCCCAGGACCTTTCTTCAGGGGATTGTCACTCGGTTGTTGCAGATGTTAGTGCTCTCTGGGAATGTTAAAACCTTGATTTCCAGTGCTAGAGAGTTGCTTTCTGTGATGAGCTTCTTCTATTGTTTTATAGTTGTCTGCCTTTGAAACGTGTTAAAATTCAAATGTTGGTATTGCCAACTGGGCGTTTTAACAAGATCTTAAGGTGCATAAATGGTCTCTGATATGGGCTGCTTTGTTTTTGGTTCTATGGGAAAGCTGTAACACAAGAAGTGATGGGGTGGTTTTTAGTGAATTCAAAGTGAAACAGAAGAACTCTTCCTTTCAGAGCTGTCTAATTCACGTGTGGGAATTTAGAATATTTTTCCATCCTAATTTCCATCTTAATTTTTCATCTGCCATTAGTAGCATAACAAGAGAGGGATACCACTCATTTCATCACTCTGCCTTACTAGAGTATGATGCTTCAGGCTTTTGGGAGTAATATCTAGTCAGGGGCTGTGTAAGGCTGGTTTGACCTAGAGTATCAAAATTAGGCCAAGATTGCTTTACTAAAGCTGAAGTTTTCTAAAGGACCGTATATGTAAGAAACACAAGTCAGCTCTTAAGCGATGTTTGTCCTTTTCCATGTGTCTGTCAGTGCAGCTGACACTCAAGCCACTCTTAAGGATGTGATTTTTGGAAGTGCCAAGCAGTGAGATGCCCACATTGACTGCAGTGATACTCCTGCATGGCAGTCAGGCTGCGTGTTTAGAAACCTCACTGGAGTTTCTAGTCAAAAATGAGCCCTGTATGGGTTCTTGTCTTGACATTACTATAACAGTTGTTGCCAGTAGGTGGGGTTCCAATCCTGTTATAAAAACCTGCGAACCCTTGTCTGTGAGTGCTCGCTCCTCCTGCACTTCCATCCACAAGCTGGCCACATCTGGAAATGTTTGATTTGATATAGTGTCGTTTTACATTGCAGAAATGAGCGTAAGCGGTTTTTTAACCCACCAAGTGAGAAATGTGATCTGGGTTTTACTACCGACCCTTTAAATAAAAACCAGATCGCTTATTAAACCATTATCTATCAAGGATATGGAGAGAGTTAGAAATATCCCAGGATCAGAACCAAAATTGAAATGGACACATTTCTGTCTGCTGTCCGGTCCTGCAGGAGTGCAGAGTTGAAATGCCTCACAGGAGGAGAAACAAATGCAGAGAGACAGGAGAAAGAAACAAGCTCATATCCTATCCTGTATCTGTGTTTGCTTTGAGCATTTCCATTCAAGTACAGGACATTGCTTATGGGAAATAACTGAAATGTGGAATCATGTGTTGCTTGTTATTAAGATTTGGTAAAATCTTCTCTTATGAGCTTCTTGAGCAGCAGGGATCTGGGAATGCCAACTGGGTTCCTTGCAAAAGCCAGTGTGTCCACAACTGCAGGCAAAAGACAGTGAGAGGAGCACACTCCTGGCTCACAATACAGGGTTCAGGAGCACTGTGCCCTTTTGCGTGAGTTTTGGATGTGCCAGTTTTTAACCCTGTGTGAGTTGCAGCTGATATAGAGCTCTTTGGGTTCCAGTTTCAGTGATGTGCACTCACCAATGTACTAATTAACGCTTTCACCCCTGTTGGATCACATGCTGCTTCCTGACTGGTACAGGCACATCCTGCTGACTTTGATAGAGCTGCTCGCATTAGCAAAACCAGGGGGATTTGAGTTTCCCTGAATTATGACAGTTGGCATCTGAAATGAAACAAAGATCAGACCTGAGGTGGATTTTTGCCATCATGTTGCATTTAAAAGCTCGTATTACTTTGGTTGTATTACATTGCCTCACACTCGAACGAGTCAATGTGTCATAAAGCTGCCTAATGTAATTGTACCTTGCATAAATGCAACAAATGCCCCCGAAAAGTGGTATTTCATGCTCGGTAGCTAACGCCTCGCAAAGATTAAATCCACGAGAAGTAGGTATGTCCAATTGTTCGTTTGGACCAGCAAATAATTCATTGCCCACATTATCTTTTGTGAAATGTCAGCCCATGCTGTAAATCACTGAGGTCCTGCTTGAAATACCAGTGCAGGGGTGCTTTTAAAGAGCAAATTTAATTTTAGGGCCAGTTCACACAGTGGTTTTCCCCATGAAGCAGAGCTGCCTGATTGCAAAGGCAAAACGCCTCCTTAGAGTGTTTGCCTCCCTTTGTAAGTAGTGACTCTCAATGGGGGCAACTTATTTATCTTGGAAACTCCCTCCCAGGCACTGGCCTCTCCATGAGAGCTTTCAGAAGAGAAGCCTTGAGACACAATCCTGGGTGTTGTGAGCTGAGATCTCAGGAGCCCACCCTCTGCTCTCTTTTTGAGGTATCTGAGGGAAAAGGATCATTTTCTTCTCCGTGTGCCTCAGTTGCTTGTCTGCAAAAGCAGAGACTGAATGGTGTATTAGCAATGTGGAGTCTGGCTTTCATAACTAATTCCTACAAGCTATGATGGAGGTACAATGTTAGGTTAGGGATGACAAGCTGGGGAGGAGGAGAGAGAAGCTGTGATTTCCAAGCCTCAGGTTGTGTTGTGATTTTGGCAGTGGACTAGGAATGATCTCAAGAAATTAGCTTCTCACTTCTGAAACTGGGGAAAATATAATCCAGGTGACACTTTACATTTGAAAAGCTTTATCCAGCCCCTAGTGCCTCTTTCCGTTGTGGGAGTTTGACCTCAGATGGCCTCGCTGCCAGCCTCGTGCCACAGCCACTGCTCATCTGTGCCCCTCACTGGGCAGATGAGAGCTGCCAGCTTGCACACCCTGCTCTCTCCGTGTGATGCTGATGCACATGAAGCATCACAGAGCTTGAGGAGGGTCCTGTGTGCAGCTGCTCCTAAAACCATCCAGTGGGACCACGTGCAGAAGCTGCTGCACTAGTAGCAATGCCCGTTTTAAGGTTTTCCAACAAAATGCCCTAGGATTTCAGGACGTGTGAGGCCGGCGAGGAGGAAATCTGTTTGCCAGCATGTGCTCACTGTGACACGCAACCTTTCAGAGCACAAATTGACCTTTCTGGGCAGTGATAACTGAAATAACATTTCACCATATTGTAACATTAGAGACACTTCAGCAACTACTACAAGTGGTGTGAGCTTCCCCTTGCCAGGCAGAAGGGGGGATCCTGGCCTCTCCTGCGCTGGATCCTTGATTGGCTGTCACCTTCCTGACATGCCCTGTTGCCTGCAGTGGATTGGCCAGGGGCAGATTTATATCCCCCTGTCGCAGCCAATAGAGATAGAGTGTTTTCTGAGTCCCTGTTTAGTTACAGTGACAGGACCCTGATTGGGTGAAGCCTTGTGATTTATGGGGGTTTGCTGAAGAGTAACTGAGTTTTATCAGAACATAATGATGTGGTACTAATGCTCATTGCGGCAGCATGGCTGGCCAGCCCGGAAAGGTCAGCGTTTGACCTTGGCTATGTTGTAAGTAGATCTGGTTGTGTTGCATGCTGGGTTACCCACTCACAGCAAACAAACCCCCAAATCACAGCTTTATTTGCTGAGCCTCTGACCAGCTCCCTCATACCCCCATCCCAAGGAGTTAATCTTACAGGGGTGGGGGAAGCTTTTCAACTTCCTAACAGTGCTGCTGTTCTTGCTCCTTCCGTGTGGTTGCTTTCTGAGGGAGGGTGCCATCACTTTCCAGAAGGACCATCAGATTTGCTCTTCCATCCTTCAGTTAGAAAAAGGAGTGGGAGAAGGAGGTATCTTGAAGAAAAGGGTGGAATCGAGGACTTCCACTGCAGGAAGAACCGTGATTTGGTCATCAGGCAAAAAACAGTTGTTGGACATATGTAGTCACTCTCAGGATGTGCTTTTCAAATGCCTCTAGTGACCAAGTTAGTTCTGAAAGGAAAATGCAGACAGGTAATTAACTACCATTTAATTGCTGGTTTTAATAATGGGCCTGATCCAAAGCATTCAGCCAGTAGAAAGTGCACATCTCTGTGCTGGCCTTGTTGTTATGGCATCATTCAAACCTGTGGTTTGTTGCTGGGAATGTCAAGAAGTTACATTCATTGTAAATAAAGCAGGATTTATTTTCTGCATTAGTTAATAGCACTTCCTTTCCTCAGTCAGCATTCAGACTTGAGGGTACGAATCTCGAGTAGAGCAGCAAAACTCTTAGTAACACTTTAACAGGGTTTATTACGTTTGTTTGCTTGAATAAACATCAGGATCCTCAAGCACTTTCTTTTCTGAAGATTAACAGGCAACCCCATGGCCTGACAGTGCGATTTCAGCATGTTACAGGTGTCTTTCTCCTCAAGTTCCCTTACAGATCCCAACCTGTATCTTTTATTAGGTAGCACAAGGGACATGGACCCCAGAGTGTACACCTGTATTGGTGAGTTACTAAGTTTGTGGGCTACGCTGTATTTCTACAGCTGGTTTGTAAGCCATTTGCAGTCAAGTAGGTTCAAAAGATTCTAAGTGCACATAAATCTCTTGTCACCAATATGCACTAGTATGAATTTGCAAGATATTTACACAACACAAATACTGTTCCATAGTAATTTTAGGCATCATTTTTACATCACAGAGAGGAAAACATCACACATCTTTACTGTGAGCATCACTTTGGAAGAAATTATATTGTAATTCATGTACATTTTATAGCTATTACATGTTTTAGACCTCTTACTTAATGCTTGCTACACCTCAGTTCCTGTCTGTGTGTGGAACTTATTTGCTCTTTGTCTCTGCTTGTACTTTACATTCAGTTTCTGACATCTCTTTCGTGTTCCTTGCCTTGCCCAGGTGATGAGCGGTTTCACATTTGGTGCCAATTAGAGACGTTCCAGGCTACTGATACAGTTACAAACACTGATTCTCAGAAACATGTGAAATGTGTGGACCAGCTTCTGATCAATTCATTCCAAAGGAGCAGCAGCACCAGTGACTTCAGCTGAGTCACTCCTGATTTATAGATCTGATTCATACACAATAAAAGAGCCTGGCCCTCTCTGTTATCCTGGTACAATTCTGTTTGCTTTGGGGGACTAATTACACTGTAGGGTGCTGCTTGCGTAGGGTTGACTCCAAGCTCATGAACTAAATGCAGAATTGAATATGCTCTTGATAAAGCCTCTTTGGATTGGGTTTGGAGCTTGGGATTCCTAGGTTACATTCCCACTTGGAGCAATCCTAGGCAAGCTGCTAAACCTCTTCTGCTCTAAGCCTATCCCATTTATACAGTGTATCTAATGTTCTTTTTACAAAACCCATAGGTACTGCTCAAGAATTCTGATTTTTGAAGCAATCTGAATGCTTCTAGTAGAATCTTTCTCATTTTGAACAATCTTTTTATGCCTGTATTGAAAATCTTAGCAGGCTGTTTGTGAAAGGAAAAGTTTCCATTTCCATATGGAAAATGACTGAAGGGTATGTGCAAAATTAAGACTTGCCTGTTGAAACATTAACAGATTTGTCACACTGTTAGTCTCGGAGCTAATCCATGCAAAGTTGAGAAGAAAGCAATGCATGGATTTGGAAGCTCCTCGCTGTGTGAAGAGCTGCTCAGAATGCTGAGCAGGGATGTTCCTAAGGCCTCCTGAACTGTCTGAGGTGATATTGCAGCTCAACAGCCACCTGGTAGGGAAAGTTCCTGCAGCAACATAAAAGACAACTGTTGCAGAGCACGTACTTTAACTCCTACGTTTAACCTGTGAGGGGTATCTGGCCTTTAAATCTGTAAGTCTTCACCCCATCACAGATAAATGGAGTATTAGAATGTGCCACTGGTGCCAGGGTCTTAGGAAAAGGAGTACAAAAAGCTCTTGCTGAGTCTGGAAACCTGAGAAAGGGACACAGTTGAAATAATGCACATGCACTCGGGTGTTTGATGCCCTGCCATCCCTACCATCCACATGGGCATAGTCAAACAAGTACTGATGACATGATTGGAGTGAAATGTTGTCCAGATACTGGTGTGTCTTTATCCCATATGAATGTGAAGGAGACCCCAAAGCAATGCAAGTTTCATCTGCTGTGTAAATGCATAAGAGACCTGGTGCTTCCTAGTACCTTCTTCAACAGTGATTGGCCTGGAAAATAGAGCTGTAATCAGGGAAGGGGAGATCTTCTGCCAACCTTGGACTGGCTCTAATATTGTAGCTGAATATGCCTCTGTTTGAATCAAAATGGGAGAAGATACAAAGCAACAAATAAATGCACTTTCCTTATTCATAGCTGGACTTGTGAGAAGTGCCTGGTGTTGTCTGGGATTGGCTGCATCCTGGAGCATGGGCTCCATCCCTGGTGTGCCGTTCTCCTTAACTGCATTTAGATAAGCAGAGGGAGCTACCGGGAGCAGATCTGCTCCGTAGGTACTGTTAGCCATCCGCTGCCCAAGTCACCAGCAAAGGGTTCAGGCTTGCCATGATAAATGTTGTAGGCAATCCAGTAGAGTAAGTGGCACTGTCTGGTGAGGTTATTACAGGGAGAAGAGTAGGAAAAGGGGGCTTTTTTGCTGCATGTCCCACAGCAGCTGTATCCCATGCTGAAGCTGTACTTTGATCTGGGGGTATTTGGTTTTAATTTGTTTTGTTAGCTTTTATCCCCAAATCATTGTTCCTGGACACCAGGTTCATGCACACGCCGTGGTTTGTATCTAAAGCATGAGGCAAAGGCTGAGCTTTACAGGCTGCAGGAGGCTGTTGTTTTTCTTTTGTTTTGTAGTGTGAGTTTTGGGTTTTTTTGTTGTTGCTGTTGCGTTCCAGCTCTGATCCTATCTGCTAATATCATAGCTTGGCTTCACTCCCTCAGGGTTTGATGTCCCAACTTTTCCTTGTTAGCACCGGGAAATCATAAGCTTATAGTGAGTGATAGCCAGTGGGTCTGGGATTGATTACAAACAAAAATCCCAGATAAGATCATAAATTTAACCCATCCCTGTGATGTGATCGTATCAGGATTCAAGTAAGTCTAAAAGTTGTTTCCGATTTTCAGCCACTTCATCTGGTTTCCATACATCCCAGCTGGGAGTGAAGTACTGTTGCGGTGGACTCTAATCCATGCCAGCCTCCCGTGGAAGAAGCCCTCGTTTCTGTTGTTATTGTATTATAGGAATGGATAGAAATGCTTTAGGCAAGATGGATGTTTCAAGGAGGATCAGCTCCAACACTGCTGAGGGAAAACTGACTTGATAATAAGAAAACAGGGCTGCTTTCCCGCCGAGCTGCCATACCTCCCATTCCCTTCCTGAACTTTAGCTACATTTGAACAAATTCAAAATGGTGTTTTAACACGAGAGGTAAACGCAGTGCTTTGATTAAGAAGAGCAACTGAACCAAACCAGACACGGCCATTCTTGGCAAAACCAAACGCTGATGTTGAATGCCTGCTTCTCCACTGCAGGAAGGAGATGTTTGTGCTCAGCTCACCATCCTTCTGGAGCTGCTGCTTATCTGTTTTTATATGCGTCCTCCATCTGAGCTGCCTGCTTTCACTGCTGTAAATGACTGCTGGGATCCAGGTCCTCTGCCTGAAAGCAGATTGAGCTTTACACCTTCAGCAGTGCCGAAGCCGATGCGCTCCCATCCATCCCCTCGCCCCGTGGAACCAGGTGATTTAATGTTACTGTTTCTTTAACGGCCTCATCGCTGCTCTGGCTACACAGTAGTTGTCTCCTGTGTGACTGTGCCTGGGAAAATCTATTACTGGAGTGCCATTAATCTGAGGCTGCCGCCTCTGGCACTTTCTGACTCTTCTATTTAATGGGCCTGTGCTTCCGGAGCTCTGGAGACATGCTGTTTTCCTCTCTTGATCAGCTTTGTTTAATTATCAAAATATTTGATGCAGAAAATTGACATTAGTTGTGAAGGTTTCTGCCTTCCTCCTCCTTACAGCCTCCCTCCCTGCTTCGTAGTGACATTGAGAGCTTCTGCGTGTGCCACCTTCACCTTAAAATAGAAAATTGCTTGAACAATCATTTGCTTGTCCGGGCACAAGCTGCATTAGCAAGCTACAGGTAGAGCTGCTGTAGCCCCTCTGCTGTAGCTTGATGCCATGCCTCACCCGAGCATAAAGAGAAGAGAGGCCATGGCACAGGTAGCGCTGGTGGATCTTTGTCTCCTTCCTGCAGATGTAAGGGTGCAGCCAGGCAGCACTTCTGGAAAGCTCAGAAGAGGGCACCCCCATGAATCCCTGTGCCTGTCTTCAGGGTGAACTCATCAGTAAGTGAAGGTTCAGCAAGGCTCAAAATCATGGAAGTTCCTTAGGAGCCAAGATTTCCCCTCTGACTTCCTGCTCATATCTTCAAAGCAGGAAGCTTTAGGTGTGGCAAGTGTTTCAATTGCCCTAGTGCATTTTGCTTACCCAGTGACGTCATTCATCATTCCAGGACTAGGGATGGGCTCACACAGAATCAATATTTATAGCTAAAATGAAGATCTAGGGGCAATATGGTAACCATGTACCACTATCTCCACAGGTAGGGAAGACAAAGTCCTGAGGACGTCCTCACATTAGCAGAAACAAAGATATGGTGAGAAGAAAAGTCCAAGGTGAATGACTGCCATCACTGGAAGCCCTTAGCTGCTGGAGCACCTGTCCAATGGGAGTGATAGGTTCTGTGTGCCTGAAATCTTTAAATTGAGGATGCCATTTTGGAAAATGTACTGTTCCCAAGCACAGCTTCTCAGGTTTAGGGCAGGGTGAAGAGGGGAGAGTGCCTGGGCTCTCTTACTCTGGTCAGGCCAGAGGAGCTGGTGGGGGCTTTGTGGCATTTGAGTCTTTGCTTCTGCCACGGTCTTCTTAGCACTGCCTTGTTACAGGGGAAAGGAGCTTTAAAGAGGGTCCTAAATTAGTGTCCCTCTTTTCACAAGCCATGTCTCTTATTTCTGCTGCTTCTCTGTAAAATGCAATGAGCAATGAAATGTGAATTACTGAGATCTGGGACTACAGCAGACAAAGCAGGAGAGCTATTTATGTAACACCGAAGCAAACGAGTACTGTTGTTACATTCTCTCTTCATATATATGTCTGTTCACTCCACTGGACTTTGTTCCTTACTACTAACATTACTGCTCTCTCTTACTCCATTACACATGCTGTACTTTCTTCACAAGACACACACAGGCTGTAAGGAAGGTGAGTAAAGTACAGATGGGGCCCATAAAAGTTACCCGGCTCACTATTACAGTGACTCTCAACAAGTAAATCACATTCCAGCAATAATTATCCTCTTTTTCCAGCAAAACCTTACATGCTATTGCCACTCTTACACCGGGAGTAACTGCTGTTTTGTGTTTATATAGTTTGTTTGGGTCCCCCAGGTATATAGATATTTCCAATTTCACTTATTAATTCATAATAAAAGAATTATATTTCCTAATTAATTTGCATTAGAAGGCTATCAGAGGAGCTGGAATCATTGAACAAAGCATTGTACAGTGAAAAAACCAACAACATTGGACAGTTGTCTTTCCTCTGTGGTGTGTAAGAAATAGATTGAGGAACGCTGAGGAGACTTGTAGGCAAAGATGCTTCTCAGAAATGTCCCTCTGCTCTGAGCATATGCCTGCCCAATGGGCTGCTTTTGTCCAGCACTGGCTTTTGCCTGTATTTTTCCTGCACGTGCCCTGTGGATGATACAGAGTTAGTGCTCAGGTTTGATAGCAAATCTTCATTAGAGCCCCATACTTCCTTAAATAAAGGGGCAGATTGTTTCACAAAAAGCCTGACCAGTTAGCTAGCTAGTCCGTGGCTGTATAATAATACAGAAGAAGAAACTAGAGTTACGGATTCTCTCCCCCCCGCCCCATTTGCAAGGTTTAATCTTGTGTGGTTTAAATTCTTCTCTTTCTTCTCTCCTGTGCTGCCTTTATTATAGGAATATTTCTGGTGAAGTCAGTGAAGTTACCTGTGTATCGTTCTGGATTAATCCATTCAAGCAGCTATGGATCACTCAGTTAAGTAATGAGTGTGCTGCAAGAGAGAGTCAAATTCAGACTCTCCTTGTGAATATCCACTGTTAAAAGATCAGTTACAAGCCTTCGTGCTGTCTGTGACTCAGAAGTGCAAAGGTGGTCTGGTAGTAGGTGTTCATTGCATCACAGATTTTGGGCATAAGGAAAATTAATAGCTCTAGCTTCATTTATACTGCAAATGAAAATAATCATAAAGATACAAACCACCAAGGTGCAAAATGAGTTTTCCAATTCATAAGCACAAGCCACCACGAGTTAAAACCTCTTGGTTTCTTCCCATAGTGCCTCAGGCGATAGTTTTCATATATATTTCTCCATGGTCAGAAGTCAGAGCAGACCACTGCTATCTAAGACCTTGACTTTTTTTCCCTGACAGTTACAATTATTACAGCCCGGGGGACTCATTTTCTCAGTCTGGCCACCCGCTGACCTAGCCTGCAACCAGAATACACTTTAAACCAAACAAACAGCAGCTCAGCTCCCTTCTCTTCATTCCTCCTCCCCCAGCTCGGGAATATTTTTACACCGTGCCCCTTGCAGAAGGATATTAGCCGCTATTGCTGAAGGCACAATCACATTATCAGCACCATTCTCTCTCCCTTTCTCCCTCTCCTCCCCCCAAAGATAAATTTTTTATGTTGCTATTTTCTTCTCTTTTGTATTTGGCATTCGATATTTACGTGATAAACTGCAGAGCTGCTACTAAATGGGCCCTGATACAACTTAATAAATACATAACAGCATCCAGACTGCAGTGCATTACTGTGCTGTGTCCTGGGCTGCTAAGGATCCTTGGAGATAATGTCTGCTAAATAAAAGTGATGCCTTAGTACAGGAAAAACAGATATGTATTTATTTCAGAGTAATTAATGAAACATGCTGGCTGATGATCCTGCCTGTCCCCGTTTGTCTTCCGAAGCTCACCCATGCTCTGCATTTCTCTCTCATACCCACAGCCTTGCTGTGTTGGAGCACCTCTGCTTCTCTAGATGAATATGTAAGGAATATGCAACCAACATTTTCTCTGCTGCTGTCTGCTGTTCTAGCCAGGGAAGGTCCACAGGCAAAACCTTCACATCTGCAGGCTGAACTTTCAGAAAGAAGCCTGTGTTTCGGTGCCCTGCTGAACTGAGGCGGGATTCAGTGGGAGCACAGCGAGATGCAAACACAGGGGCTGGGCCTCACTGAAGAGAGATGAAAGGATGCAGCAAAAAGTTACAGATAGAAGCTGCAATGAAGGTAACTTATTTCCATCTGAAGTGCATAAATGTTATTCTCATTGTTTAACACTTGCAAAGTTTTCTGCCAAATTTTTAGCATCTTTAATGTTTTATTTTTCAGCAGAAAAGAAAGCAATTTACCCCAGGTAATTGCTAATTATGCAGTGTATGAAATGTTCCTCCTACATGCTCCAAGAATTGCCCAACATTCAATGAGGCTTCCCAGCTGTGCTTGAGTGATGGGAACCATCATGCTGTGTCCTGGAGTTGGTTCCATTTGGACCCAGGTTTAGAAGCTGTTCACAAAGAGCAGTTTATGGGGTGTAGGTACCCAACCATTTCACTAGACTTAGCTAAGGCTGGGATGCCTTTCTGTGGGATGAGCATTTCCTTGCTTAATTCCTGATACTAAGACTACTCAGAGTCTGAAAAATTAAGATGGAAATAACCTAGCAGAATTGCACATCTGTGATTCACGTGAGGTATCATTAGTTCCTACACTACATATGCTGGTGTTTTGTTATCTTTCCAGGAAGAAAGGAGAAATTATTCCAGATTTTGTATCAGTGGCAGAACAACGTTAAACAAAGCACTTCAGCTATCTCTAAAATCTGTGTTTTTGAGATGAGCTGGTTTGCCTCTGATAACATAGCTGCAGAGGATGTATGCATGCATGAACACACACGGACACCTGTGGAGGTACATTCAGGAATCATGCCTCTAATCTTCACTCTACTTTCCCTTGCCAGAATGGCAGGTTTTTCTTTACCAGAGTCTTTTCCAACTGTGTTCTAATTGCTGAAACCGTCAGCATAAAGTACCATCAACCAAAATGAAGTGAGGCAGACTCACACAAGCTGCAGAACTTTGCAACACAAAGCCACTTTACAAAGAGTTTAGCTCTATAGAAACCACAGTGAATGCTAGGAGGAATCCCAGCAAACTTTGCATGATGCTTCAAAATGCACCACAGGGATCCCGGGCTTGTTACCTCCTGACACCATCTTTCTGTAAAGGAAAAAGCACAGTGCGCTCTGTGGAGCGATTACCCTGGGGTCCTGTGCATTCAGCACTAGTATTGCAAACTTTCAGATCTCACAAAGGAGACAACAAGGACCTTTGATTGCCCCTGTTGAAGCTCCTGGTAAGGAGCAGGTCACTTCCCTCCAACCCCTCTGCGCCTCCATGTGTGGATATTTTCATGCCCACTTGACAGGTGACTATTTTACCAGACAGGGTTGTCAGTGCTGCTGGGGGTTATCTGGATTTAGCTGTAGGCAGGAACTGAACCACAATGAGCATTAAAAAAAGCTCACTGTTCTTCGTTTGTTTAGAGACAAGCCATCTCAAACTTGTTTGAAGCCTTTTTTATTGAATTCACACTCTTGTGCCAAGCACTGAAAGATTTACTTTGGCTATTGCTGTAAGATGGAAAGCATATGAATGCATGGCTGTCTGCCAGCTATGGGTGAGCAGTGAAAGGTCTGCTACAATGGACGGTTACATGGAACAAATGTGAATGCAGTGGGCAGACGTGACTAAAGAAAGGCTTTGGCATTCAAAGAGCTGCTTGAGGTTTAATCCAGTGACTGAAGTAGGGTCAAGAGATAACACATCTAACCTGCAAAGCTTTTAACTGGGCAGCAGCTGAAAAGTAGTAAGCTACAGGTATACACACATGTCCTCTGAATAACAGCCTCTTGCCTCCCCTTGCAGGCTCCAGCTCTTCCACTGGCTCCATCTGCAACGGCGAAGACCCAGTTGGCCATACCCAGTGCAAGGTACCCCAATTGCTGCTGGATATTTCTTGCAGATGTTGCCATAATTTTGTTGTGGTACAGTTTGACATACGACTCCCTGCTGCATCCGAAAGGGCACATTATCTCAATTAATGTTTCACAGCAAACATGGCACTGATAGTATTCATGGGACTAAAGACTATTACCATTTGCATGGTGACTAGCACAAGAATTATGACTATGTGTGTTTTCTGCAGCAAAATTTGCCCTCAGGCTCCCTTTTTTTTTTTTTTTTCTTTTTGGCTTGTGACAATGTTCCCTTTTTCTTCCTCCTTCTGTTTTGATTTCTACTTAAAGTTTTATGGCTCTGTCCCCTCCAGGGTGCTATTATCTTGTATGCTAATAGGGCTATGCATATTCTATTAGCGTTGTCAGTGTGAGATAAGAGGCACATTCTGTAAGGAGCACTCAGGGGGTAATAATCACAGCAAGGGGTCTCAATGTTAGTACATTATCAGTCATCTTCACATTTCAGTGGAGCCTGTTTATGCACCTCTTCAGCTGCGCAACTCAGACACTGGAAATTGCTGAATGTTTACGGAAACTGTTGTAGAGGAACATAATGGGATTTGAGATTGACTTGATAAAGGAGCCTTCTCCCTTGTTGCTTCCAGATACAAGATGTTTGTAACTGTATGCAATAAGTAGGATAATATGTTATATGGCAGTTAGCAGCTAAAATCAGACTCAGATCTGTATTTCAAGCAATAGAGCAGCTATCTAGGAAAGGATTTTGGAAGGGTGCACACCAGCAGTGCTTCCTCAGAGGTTTCTCTGCCTCACTTTTTACAGGGTGACACATAAATGCACACACCTGGTTCACATCAGGAGGAAGGCCGACAATTTTTACACCCTTTAGTCTTGAACTTGAATGATTAGAAGTAAGTAGGCCCATAGAAAGAAAATTGGTGACAGCATGTGAAGGGCAAATGAGTAACTATTTGCAACACTCTTTGTTAGCTAAATAACATTCCTTGGTTGCAGCAACGGGCAATGGCGTGTGAAATAGGTGTCATGCGAATGCTCAGCTGTTGATGATGCCGTGGGCTGCTGAGGGAGAGGGGGTTCTATTGCTGGGCACAACTCTTGTTTCTCGCACTTCACTTGTGTTGCCACTAAGTTTCCTGGGGTGGTAATGCTGCAGCCTGACACCGCAGCCATCCTGGGGCGGACACCAGTACACCTACTGGAAAGAGCTCATCTAAGAGAAGGTTCTTTCTCCCCCTCAACTGTGGCACTCTGGAACTGGTAACCAGCAAGTCTGTAATTTACAAAACAGTTTGGAGGAATTTGGTCTCTTTTTCTACTTTTCTGACATCACAGTTTGAGGGACCCTTTCACAGTGTTAAGATTTTTCAGTGGCACTTGTAGGAGAAGAGGTAAAGCACAGTGCTAGCTCTTTGTATGATGTTAGAAATATGTGTACGTAAATGGCATTTTGATAGAGTTGCTGTATATTTCTCAGCAATTTAGTTACTTCAGTTCCAGCAGTAGCAGCATATTTATGTGCTGTTTGACACCTGGATTATAATGGGACTCAATGTTATCATTTCGTTGAGCAAGGGATGGAAGCAAAAAAGGGGGATTTTGTGCATTTCTTAGGAAGGTGGAATCTGTGATTAGGCCTTTGTAATAAGTTCAGTGTCTAATTTTGCAGCCCATGGGAAAAGAACCTAATGAGGGATGGCAAAAAATACAGAGATGAGGAACTAATCTCATCTTTAGAATGAACAAACAAATTTTGGAGACAGATCGAAAACTTCTACTGTTCCTGCAGAATTCCCTTTCTACAAAGAGAAAACGAAGCGCTGCCGTGGGCAAAGCCTTTAGGAGAGCCTTAAAGTGTCGCTCAGTAGAGACAGATAAATTCCTAAATGCATAGGAGCCTCTGTAGATGATCTAAACTGAATTCCTGGCCAGTGGCAGCTCTGTGCCTGCTACAGGCGAGCAGTCGCAACAAGGAGAAAAGAAAGGGCTATGTTTTGGATCACTTCTGTAGTACTTAAGATTGCACATGGATACAAACACTCCTTACTTTAAAAATATTTGTCCTTGACATTTCCAGACACATGGCTCACACCAAATGTATGCAGCTCCATCTCCTGAGGGTCTTGAGATTAAAACCCCTGCTTTCTCACCTTGTGATCTGGCATTAATAGCTGATAGAAAAATCACATACATGACTGACATCTTCCTAGAAATGTGAGACTGTGGAATTAATGAATGCCATGCGGGAAAGCAGGGGTCAGTTTGGAAATAGGATTTCTGTTGCCAGCCATCCAGTCATGAACTGGACAATCTGCCGTTCATTTCTTTGCTTTAGCATTGAGGAAAATTGGTCTGGAGAATAAGGCAGGCAGGAAATAAGCAGCTCTGTTTCTTTGGCCACTGGAGGTTGATGGACTTTTATAACTTGTGGAAATCAGGCTGACTTGTGTTATACAGAAGAGCTGTTAGCTCATTCTTTATGACTGCCGGGTTCTTTTATCCTGCTGTAATCTGCAGGATAAATCTGCAGATCCAGAGACTGGGGTGGCCTGAAGGACTGGTGGGCAGACACTGTGCTGAGGTCAGTGGTGCTGTGGTGTTGGACACTTGAGCTTCCAGCCTCTGGATGCTGAATGGAGCATCAGGGGAAGGGTGTGTGAGCTCTGTTTGTGGGGTATGGGTATCTCCAGCCCAAAAGTTCATCAGCTGGTTGAGACAGCTGGAGAGAATGGGGCATGGAACACTGGTCTGTGTGATTTGAAAACTGCTTTCAGCAGGGCAGTACAGGAGATGGACCTTATCCTGACCGCAGCAGCAGGGCAGCATTTTCTTTAGGGAAGATGGATTTCCTTTTCCCTTTCACATCTTCCCATTCTTCTGTTCCCTGTATTTTTTCAAGAGCAAATGAAAAAGTGAAACAAAAAAGAGGATAGATACAAAGGGAGCTGGAAAAGAAAGTGTCTGCAAGGAAAAGCTTCCCACTTTTTTCCGGCTAAAGAAAAGGAATATTTGAACAAAAGTACAAAAATGCTGCAAACATTTCATTTGAGAATAACAAGCCATTCCTCATTGTTCTGTCAAGGTAGCTCCCACTCCCTCTTAGCTCTGCTGCAATCATTATTGTTGCTTCTGGGTGCACAGTGCTTATTTTGGCTTCCACAGTGAAAATGCAGAACTCCTGAGTCTGTCAAGTAAGGCAGAAAACAAATGCAAAAAGGGGAGGAATGTCACATCTTCTGCTGCTCTTTATGGATCTTACAGAAAAAACCTGTGCCCCGGTCCCTTTCTGCATCCACATTATCCATCTGCACTGAATGGCATCCATCCAGTCAAGGGTTAAACCTGGCCTCCATCTAACTGGACTCCTCACTCTGGGTATGTTTGAAGGAAGGTTTAATTTCATCAGGAGTAGGTTGTGTTCAGCTAAAGCAATCACTGTAAATAGACTTTCTTTTTAAAGGGCCATAATAACTGCATTTGTAAGAACTAAAGGGGTAAAACTGGTCAGAGACCCGAAGCTGTATCTATCGAGTGTTTTCTGCCAGTTCATTACTGCTTCAAAGCAACTTCTGGAAAAATAAATCCCAAAGCATCCTGTTTACCTCAGTCTGTGGGATCTATAGGTGATATATGAGAAAAGCACTGCGCTACCAGCACACTGCAGACAGCCTCATCCGGTCGGGATTGTCAAACTCCTCACAGAGACTGCACAGGTAATAACCAGGGGCCCAAACCCACCCGCCCCCAGGAGCTGGGCAGCAGTCCTGATGCTAGAGGACACAACAGGACCCACATTCACTTACATGTCTGAGAGCCATCCCATTTCCATCAGTGAGCACATGAACGTTGCACGGGGAGAAATGTGGAAGCAATTACTTTAAGAGCCGTCTTTTGGGCAATTCCCAAAGAGACATCAGACCCTGTATTTATGAAGCCTATTGCATCGGGCCCTAATGAAGCAATTAAGCAAAGGGTCCTCTGTGTTTGATCTAAATGTGGTAATTTTTACAAAAACATCGCCGAGTGATAGATACCCATAACTCAGGGTCCTTAATTGTACTTAATTTGTTTGGAATACGAATGTGCATTTAATTAAGCCAGGGCTTTGCCCACATGTTTAAAGAAGGGCTGTCAAGGAAAATTAAGACCCAGTTTGTTTTCAAAGTTACTGGTTTTTATCAGGGCAGGACAGCGATCTTCGAACAGAAGGTTACAGATAATTAGGCAGAGACCTCAAGCCAAAAAAAAAAGGCAGAGACACTGTACAGCTGAGAAAGCAGGAAGAAAAACTCCTTGATGAAGAAACATAAGAATGGCTGTTCACATAGTCAAGTCATGCATGGCTAGGATTTGGTAAATGTGACCTCTTGCTTGAAGTGTGTTTTGTGTTCCTCAACTCCAGCATCGCCGATGGAGACTGGCTGTGCCTGATGGCAGAAGCAGCTGCTCCAGGACCACTGAACACAGAGAACTGATGGCATCTCCATCAACCAGCAATAACATGCGAAGGGCAAAAAGCATTTTCCTTGTTTGCCTGGATTTACTCAAGCTAAAGCATTGGCTCTGAAAGCTGGATTTAGAAGTGTCTCTTTCCCCAGCACAGAAATACAGTAGGTGCTTGTCATCCTCTCAGGAAGAATCTTAGTCTGGTGCATGGAAGGGGAGTGTATTCCAGGATGAGCAGTGCCTTTGACTCCCTGGTGCTGTTACGGAAAGCAGCACAGTGCACTTTTGCATGCACAGAAATATTTCATACAGAAGTGACACACAGGGAGGGAAGCATGGCAACAAAAATGTTGAGACAACTGTGGGTTTAAACCTATTTTTCATTCTTCTGTAGTGAAAAAATAGAGTACAGTCAAAAATTAATAATGCTTCAACACACATGAAGAAAAGGCAGTTTTTGATACTGAAAAATTAGTGTCTCAGCACGATAGCAAACAAAGTCCATGTGTGGACACTGTAACCTCCACTCTCTGAGCCTCTTCAAGAATCACATGCTGGTTATCAGTTTCTCAACACTGTCATTTTTAATGTCATGGTGAGGCATTTATGTCAAGAGATCCTTACTGTGGAAAATAGTTGCTGTGGTGTTACCTTGCAGCCTAAGTAGGTTACGTGGCCAACAAAGCAAGCTGTGCACACATCATCAGTGAGTGCTCAACTGTCACAGGGAGAGCAGCTCCTCTGCAGAAAGGTGCTGTGTCTGTAACCGAGCTGAAAATTGATCCCAGATTCCCTACACTTGGAGAATATGGATCTGAATTGTGAAAATCATATTTTCTTGAGTGTTTTGATGGGCTACTGTGCTGCTGACAGCTGCAGTGGCTCTAGTTGTGGGTCACAACACGTGTGGAGAATCAGGAGATGTTTAAACAAGTAGCTAACCACCTGCTCTTATGTCCTGTTTGTGGATCTGCCTCTACCTGCTTTGCAGCTCACAGAAGCTGTCACCTTGCTCTGAGATGGTACCTGGCCTCCTGTGCTTGGGTGGCTCCATTTAAAACTTGGCAGAATACCCAGAACAGCATCAGCCCTAATTTAGTATAAATTAGTCAACTTAAAATAAACAGAATAAAATGAAATAAATGCTATGGTCTGAGAGCTCTCTTGGCTGGATGGCTGCCTGCTCCCAGAGACCCGTGGGTGCTGTCACTGGGACCTTAGGAGCAATGTACTGCGCAGAAGGACCCTTCAGCACGGTGCTCCTGGCTCTCAGCGTTACAGGCATGTGAAAGTTTGGAGTCTCCAGAGTAAGATGCTGCAGGAGAAGGATGCTGTGGGAGAGCACAAGGGTGCTAAGTGTTAACAGGGAGGCAAAACGAAGGCAGGGAGATGCTGAACTTAGGCTGATCCCGGCGTGCATCACACATCCATTGCCCCGAGGAAGAGGTCTCTCTCTTTGGCTGTATCTGCTAAGTGCATTGAACCAGTTTGCACAGGCAGACCCAGGTCACAGTTCTTCCCTGGTAAAGGAGCGTGTCAGCTGCTTCACCTCTTAACTGGGGTTTGCAATTTTTGCAGCAATAACAGAGAATTTGAAAGGACATCAGAGGTGGATTTACGGGGCTCCTGGGAAATCGGCTGCTTCCTGTTCCAACAGCTTCTTCATCATGACTTGCTTTCTCAGTCACTGAATGATATTCTGTTCATCTTGGTGGGCAGTGATTACTGTTAAATGCAAAGCTGGGATGAACCTGGATTTGTGGAATAACCTTTTTTGTCTCTTCAGCAAGTCCAGCACAGTAAACTTGGGGCAGAGGTCTACTGACCAAGTGGGTAATTGTGTTCCAATGCAGCCTGTGAATAATGCAGATAAAAACCCTTCAGTGAATAATTCATTTTGCCTTCACTCATTTTGCCTTCACTCATTTTGAATTAGCCTATTCATGTATGTATCCTTTCCAGTCTGTCAGTCTCTGTGTATGCATGTATTTACATAGCAGTGTTGTAATTCACAGGTACTTAAGATATCAAAGCAATATAGTTACTACTCCTGCATACGTTCCTGACTAGTCTGTATGACTGCATGTGTGTAAGTAAGCATTGTATAGCGTACCATAATACTTGATTTGATTTGAAGATGCAGCATGACACGTTGTATTTCCTGCTGTGATGGCTACCTAGGATTAATATTATAAAACTTGTAAATGAGGGCAATTTATGGCTATAAATAACAGAACAAGTATTTTGGGCTGTTCAGTGTTCAGATCCAAGTTTTCTGCAGTGATGTGTATTGCCTAATATTAAATTACATACTCACAGCTTTATCTTTACCTTGGCAGTGACTTCTGGATCCTGGGTCAAGCAAAGCCTGTGAACAGCGGGAAGCACTTGCCTTTGGGGATTGTGAGCCCTGAGGGGTATTGACGGCACTGAAATTGCCTGATCATTATTGATAAACATGCCTGCAGGTCGAGAACATTTGCAACAGGTTCATCTGAAAAGCAGAGAGAAGAGTCTGTTTCCTGATGGGATCAGGTTTGTCAGAGAAGTTCTGAGAAGCACCTGAAATTTGCATGAGCATCTGATACCGTAGCTGATGGTATTGGCACAGACTGAGGAGTGTCCAAAGCAGAAGCAGGGAGTACAGTCCCTTGGACTGGAGGTATCCAGATTGAAACATCCAGGTAGCTCTGGTCTGGCTCTGAAATGTGTGTCGTTCACATTTATAAACTTGCGCAGTGTTGGTGCTTGATGTATGGCTGGGGAGGCCAAGGTGCTGTGTGACAGCCAGAGGAACTGCCTGAATGGCCAAGGGTTTAATGTAAAATCCACTGGGAATCTATTCATTGTGAGTTCTGCCTTGCACAGCCAACAAGTTGTGATCATGCAGCTGTATCAGGGCTGGCAGGGCAGATGGGTTATCTTAGACTGCTGGGGAGTTCCTCTCTGTAGAGAGCACAGGCTCTTGATTTGACTCCGTTTCAGTTTCCAGTCCATTACGAGTGACAGAGCTGATACAGAGCCTGTCTGTCAGCATTGTCCCTGGAGGGGCGAATCTTCTTCTCTTCCTTACTCATACCAGAACTGTCTGCTCGTGCTTTTTCAGATCCTGCTGAGCACCAGGTGAGGAGGAGCTCCACTGGGAACTGGATCGCAGCTTCTGAGCCCTGCCAGGCCTGGTCCCACACGCCCCTCCTGGCACTGCACAGGGAATGGCAGCTCTAGATCAAACCTCTTCCCAAGTGGGGATGTCAGTGCTTAAAATAAATCACTGCCTATCATTCCCTGAGTGGGTCAGAAGAGGACTTGCAAGCCTGTGAACAGCTCGAACCCACTGCTTGGGAAAGAAATGCCATAGCAGAGAGCATTGCTCTGGATCCATCGTCCATGGAGAGAAAACTAAGGAGGCAAAAGTCTTGGCAGCTGTGGCCAGTTGTGCACTATTGTCTGCAGTAACATCCTGAGCATATAGAGCTCCTTCCACTTCCAGAAAATGCACACCCATAAAACACCCTCTTAGTGGGAACCGCTATTCCCGTTTTGCAGCAGAGAAGGGAAAGGGTAGATCTGAATTTGTCTGCATTCAGTGGGTGCCTTGCAGGCTCTTCCAAGGGGACGTGAGTGGCAAAGTCTGTTCCTTGTCTGTGGCCAGCAGGGATCCTGCAGAACATGGAGGCCTTGATCTGAACAGCTATAACTGAAATAGCAGGTCTAGGTTTCATTGCTGGTGGAGAAATATGCTGTTCGCTGGTCTGAGCCTCACCTTTTCCTTTCTAATTTGAGCTGACCTGTACCTTTGCCAGAGTCCCAGTGTTGCTTTCCAATGCCCGTTTATGAGGACTAAAGACAAGATGGACATATATATACACATATGTGCATGTGTATGTATTTGTTTGTGTATTCTCCTGTATCACACTGGAGTGAGCTTCCTTTTCTCTGGCTCCGCAATACCTTCTTTTTCCCTTCTTTCAGTTTTAACTCAATTTATTACAGGTTTGTGTCTGATGTGCCAAAAATTATTTGTTCTAGGGTTAATCCCTAACCCCCAGCAATACCACTGGGAAAGCTGCGTGGCAGACTTGAAATAGTTACTACTTAGAGCAAGCAGCCTTTTCAAGTCAGAGAGATCTTTCTTTATAATTCACAGATTGGGGAAACTGGAGCAACAATTTCTACAGTATAATACATTACCCTCTCTAGTTCTGTCTGACAGACCTGTGCTAATTACTCCGGGTGGTTTTGATAGAGAGCCAAGAATGGCTTGTAGAAAAATGCGTATCACTAAAACTTAGGTCCCCAAAGTCAAAAGTAAAACAAACAGTGAGAGATCATTATCTGAAGCAGACCCTTACTCGCTGTGTACAGAAAAAAGTCATTCCCATGTTTTGTGTTCCTTTTTTCCATTAGATCCAAGGAGTATTTCTGTCTGTATTTAGAAATCCCATGGGTTTGTCCAGGGAGGGCAGACAGTGCATTTATTCTGCTCTATCCTCCTTTTCTTCTCTGGAAGGCTGGAGCTGGCTCTGGTGTGGACTCTTTGTGTGGCCTTCAGCAAGGGACTTAACCTTCCTGTGCATCAGTTTACTCATTTGTAAAGGGAGTGTTATAATAATAGACACCCCTTGGGGGCTTGTCCAGATTTCAGTAATTAATGTTGGTAAAGCAGAGGGTGAGCGTCAGATTAAAGGTGCTAAATAAAGGCAATATACTAATATTTCTTCCTCCAGCTCCTTATGGAAGAACAAAGCCAGAGCCTGGGAAGTGTTGGATTTGAAGTTGGGAGTTAATGTTACAGTGCTAAGCTTGTATTTTCATTTCTGTGGTCCCAATTCAGCAGAGCTCTTAAATTCATTCTTAATGTTGGAAAGACCCATTATTTTCCACAGGTAAGGCTCCCAGTCTGAAAAGCTTTTTGATTTGGGCCCTGTAAGAGCAGTGATAGAGGGATCCGCTGTGGGTGTCTGTATCCATGTGTGTTTATCCTTTTGCATGCAGGATTTCAGTATAAGAGCATCACTGCTGCAAGAATATAACCAGGAAGTCTCATGGCCTGCAAAATTCATCCGGGATGCAAATCAATAAATGTAACAGGAGAGAAACTACAAGCTGTGCATTTCCATGGAGGCTGAGGTTTTGTGGGATGGATGGATAGACGCTGCTGAGCATGACCTAATGCCGCAGGAGGAAAAAAACAACCACAGACCTCAGCATCTAAACAGTATGAATATTGAACCAGAGGTCCTTTGAGTAATTGTCCTTTCTTCACTCCAGGGGTGAAAAGGGTACATTAGACATTCACTAGCAGCAAATGGCACCTGACATCTCTTTAAGTGAAAGTCAGCTTGGAATTTTTTTAATGGCCAAGCATAAATCTTTTAAATTATAAATCAATAAATAGTTAATTCAATAATAGGAATCTTTTAAATATTTAATGAGTCATATGCAGAATGGCTCTATAACTGGATGTTGATGGAACTGTGTCAAAGGAATTTGAATCAAACTTTTCTAAATTCCCCGTATTAAAATAGTTATTGATTCAAACATAAACTATGAGGACTGTTGCAAAAGTGAGGAGGGTGCAGGGCTTTAGCATGCATGCATTCTCATCTGAGAAAATGTGGAACTAGCAGCTTATGTTTAATGATGTATTCTTGAGCTTTTCAGGTTGTATTAATGTTCCCACTACAAAAATGAGTAAGCCCCTGTGCAGACAAGATTTTGTGTATGCATATTCATTAAAATCCTGCTTTAATGGCAGCTGTGCTCTTAAATAAAGGCTGTGGCAGCCTGCCTCTCATTAAGGGGTTCTGCTAACCAGCACTGACATTGATACCCTCAGCTATCTCCATGTGAAGCAGCCCAGAAGTTTAGATTTATTTACCGGGGTTTGCAAGTGAATGGCAGTGGGAGTTGTTTCTGTATACGCTAGAAATGAATTTGTTCCTTTATCATTTCCTCTGAGGTGATCTGCAGTCAATGTTCCCTCATTAACTATGTGCTGCTGTAAGTCAACACTCCTCTTAATTCCCCTAAATTGGAGGCATTTTGCGTTAATCCTCAGACCACATTCAGTGCAATGTTATTCCGTAGCAGATGTGGCATCATTAAGTTTTATACAGCCTAACTTCTGCTTTCGAAATCATTACCAAGCTCTCTTGATCTCTTTTCAGGTAAAATGGTGGAAAAGATGGGTTGGCAACAGGATGTAGGAGTTGCTTTGGGAGGGAAATTCAGCAAAACAGGCAGAGAAGGCACAAAGAGGGAGAAGAAAGGAAGAGGTGGTCTGGCAGATGAGCTGAGATTGGGATTTGCAGTGCTGCTGAATGAGTAGCAGGTTTGCTCTGGGTATGTGTTACCTGCCACATATTCCATGCCGTGTATTTTGGAAAGAGGTCCTGGTATTTGAGGAACAAAAAAGGCTTTAATGCAAGGCTTGTTCACCATTTCAAGCAAAAATAATGAGTGTCCCCACACTCCTTTACCAAAGATAGCAATGAAGGGATTTGATGTTGCCTCCTGAAATAACAAAACGTGGTCAGAAACTCCTTATCATAGCAGCTTATCGTACCCATGGTACAGATGCTAAAGCTGTTTGCACTCTGAGGAGGCAAAGCCTGACTGCTCAGAATTTGCAGAATTTTTGTAGTCAAAACTAGCCAGAACCCAGGTTCAGCATCACCTGAAGCAGGACCCATGGCTTGCTCTGTGCGTGCCTCTGTGATCAATTGTCGTTGGTTCAATACTTGTAGCAGATGAGAGTTTCATTTGTATTCTGCACACCTCTGCCTTCCCTGGCTGTGTGTATATATATCTCCAGAAAAGCTGGCTGCATATCCTTGGGTTTTTTTTCTCCCCGGGATGACAGATACTGTAACAATGACAGTAGATTAATATCTCCTTAATCAGCCAAATGAACATGACATACAAGGGTGACAGTTCAATTTGCTGCTAACAGATTGTGCCTATCAGAGCCCTTCCATTCCAACTGATGTTTATTTCTGGAAGAGATCATACGGGTCTGGGAGGACCCCAGCTTCCCACCAGCTCATAGGCACCCATTAAATACATCAAGTACCACGAAGGTGTTACTCACCCGCCTGTCAGGACACTAGCTGCTTGGGAAATGAAATGAGCCTTGACACATGCAATGGAGAAACACTGTCACTTAGCTGGGCGAGGTGGCAGCATGTATTATTGACTACACGCTGCTGCAGGTCCCTCTCTTTATTGCTGCTTGGGTTTTGTGTGCTTGTGGACTGCTCGGCGCTGAAACATGGATCAGAGACTGAGTCTGTCTCCTGGGGAGATACATAAAGAAATGAAATGGGGAGGAAGTGCAGGAGGGGTGGTGGTTTGGGTAGAAGTGATAGGTTAAATCTCAGTCCCAGAACTGGCTGTGCTTTGAGCTTGTTTGCAGGTGGGTTTTCAGGAGGATCTAGTTTCTAATTCTGAAATTCAATCTGCAGGGTCTAATTCAAATCTCTCTTTTCCTGCTTCCTGCGGTACTTCAGATGCAGTAACTCCAGATACTGTACAAAGGGATGGCAAGTCCTTCCAAAGGGCAGCCCCTGCTCCTCCCCAGGCTCAGCTAGGCTCCATCCTGTGCAGGCTTGGAACAGAACACCTAAGGTGGGTACCCTCAGCACGCAGAGGTCTGACCCTGCAGCCCTTGCTGTTCCTGTAACTGAACAGGAGAATTTTCGTTTGGTGGATGAACCCCACTGGTTTATTTTCATCTGCCTGCTGTTGTTGTGAGACACCCTTACTTCCCAGGCCCTTCGCACATACAGGAGACTGCTTCATTCTGCAGTCCCACCCCAACAGATCCCACTTGCAGACCTCCGCATACCCCATCCGCAGACAGAGCCTACCACGGACTCATGGCATCACTCTCTGGTTTTCCTATGGAAATCTTTTGCACAGCTCCCAGCATTTTGCTTCACAGGAGACAAGAGAGGTGTTTGATTTTTTGAAAGATAAGGTGCAAGTAGTTTCAGTGGAAAGGTTTTCAAGGCAAAACTGACAATCTTGTTACCAAAACAATGGCATTATATGGCAATATGATTGTAATTATGAAGCTAAATCCTTCCAAAGCAGGGTTCTGTCATTCCCTATACTTGTTACAATTGCTGTCATACAAATGAGTTCATTATTTTTATCTTTTTTTTTCCTTCTTATTACAGGTTTTGTCATAAGAATAACTCATCAAGGTTTTATGACCAATAAATTCTCTAAATTACAGTCCAAGGATGCATTACTTTTCCTCCATATTCTGTTTTTAATTGCCAGGCTATTTCCCACTTGCCTTTCTTAATGACTCGTTAGGCTTAAGGGGAAAGAACAGAATTTAGTCCACCTAAGATTTTGCATCACGTTTTGGACACCTCTCAAGGGAAGTGATGCATTAGGAGGAGGAAAAATGTGACTTGTGTCTTGAGAGAAGACTTCAAGTATCAAGGGTACTCAAAAGAAAATGGAGATTCTTCAGAAAGCCCCAGATGAAGTGGTGTTTACTAAAGTGGTTTGAGCAATTACTTCCAATGAGAAACTCATTCAAGATGTATGTGATTTTTGTAAGATACAGGTATCTGAATAATCTTTTTTCTGTGTAACTAGGTCTCCTGGGATCGTTTCAGAGTTCTGGAGATTGAATTTAGACGTGTCCTTAGAAACCTTGTGAAATCAGGACTGAAGAGAATAAGAGGTGATGGTTTTGGTTACAAATTCCTGCTGTGAGCTGCTTGTGTTGCTGCCTGTTGTGAGTGAGGGGGTGTGGGGGCAGACAGGCAGCCACATGTACAGGGCTTCTGCTGGGCCCCTGCTCTGCAGTAAAGGCAAACTTTAGCCATTTTGAGTGTGCTAGAACCAATGGCCTATTCCAGCGCTGCCACTTGCTATCAGAAGGGGGCTCTGGGGTACCTACCAGGGTACCTGTATAAGAAAATGGGCCCATAAAAGTGCCTTTTCAGATGCCCCAGCAAGTTTACCCCATCCCCGGCAGCGCTCAAGGTCAGGTTGGACACAGGGGCTTGGAGCAAGCTGCTCTAGTGGAAGGTGACCCTGCCCATGGTAGGGGTTGGAACTGGGTGAGCTTTAAGGTGCCTTCCAACACAAACTGGTTTGGGATTCTGTGATTTGCTACGATGCTGTGATTTGGCTGTGCTGGGCATTCTGCAGGCACAAAGTTTGTCTGTAGGTTCATGGCAAGGGTCCTTCTTGTGCTGCATGTGGGCTCCACAGCACAGACTCGATGGAGGGGCTCAGCTGAGAGGTTATCGGCCCTGGTGGTGTGTGTGGTTCAGAAATGTTTTCGGAAGAGCTAAAGAGCAAGTTAAAAGCTGTTAACTTCATGCTAACAAAAGGAGTTTCACACTTGTGCCTACCCCACAAATCTCTCTAGAGGGAGGCAGAGAGCCATTTCTCCAGGAAGATTCCCTAGTTTATGTGTGCAGCACAATCAGCAGCAACAAAAAAGCGCTCTTTGTCAAGTGTGTTTCAGGTGGCAGCACAGGTTATGCTAGTGGCAAAGTCCTTAAATATTCACCTCCATCACTGGCTCAGCAGGATTTTGCTCTTGCAAAAGCCGTACAGCACTTTTCCTGCAATTGCAGCTCTCCGATTGTAGCCCTTCTAGTGCAGAACCAGGGGGTGCTTGAGGAAACTGGCTCTGAATTGGGCTCTGGCTAATCAAGACTAGAACTCCTAACAAAGTAGCCCAGTCCTCACGCCTGTGCTTCCAGGATGGTGGCTAATTATTTCACCAGTGTGAGGATTATTTAAATGCACTTCCCAATATGTTTCTTCCTCTGCCAACCGTGAGCACTTTGCTGCGAGTGTCTTTGAGCACTTTGCTGCGAGTGTCTTCTCATGCGTATTCAGTGATTCCACCAGCTGCTTACTTGGGCTTCATTCACAAAATCCCCAATTTTGATCATTGCTCCATGTGCTCTATGTGGGATAAAATCCTGCCTCTCTGGAGCTGATGAAAAACACCTTGTTGGCTTCAGGCCAGGCACTGAGAAAATCTTCTCTTTTGCTAGAAGAGTTTTAGGTTATTCTCAAACCCTACATTGGCACAACAGCCTCCTTCCTAAATAGACTCTACTTTTAGTGTCCAAACTCTTCAGACAATCAGACTTGTAAATGACACTGCTCACTACAGCATGGCCATTTCCTATCCCCTGTGCCGTGGACACCCAGCCTCACTCACAGGGGTCCGTGTCCTTGTCCTGGCGCTTTTCCTTCTCACGTTGACCAGAGCATCGTGGAGTCCCGTGTGTGAAACTCTCAAATGCAGGTCACTCCAACCCACACAGTGTCAAAGTCTGCAGCTTGTTAGCTGGCAAGAACCCAGACCAGTAAATCGTGGGTCCTACAAAACAGTTTGCAGCAGCACTGCCATGAAATGATGTGAATGCAGCCTCAATTATAGGGCTGAAACATCTGCATGTAGGGTTGCAGGCCATGTTTTCTCTCTGGTAACTCAAGTCCTAATGTGCATTAACTGTTTAAAACCAATTTTGTTGCAGTTAAAATTGAATATGACTGTTAGTCTAGAAAATATGGCCTATTTCCTTTTACTAGTTAGTTTTTAAAGGTGTTTTACAATTCAAATGAGCCATGCAATTAAAGGTGACATTGCCAAAACTGGACAGACTAAAATTAGACATTCCTGCTGTGTGTTAGAGCTTGGCCCACATTTAGATCATGCTGTCTTTGGGCTGTACCTGTCTGCTTCAATCTCATGAGTCAACAGGATACTGAAATGTTCCAGAATCCTGTTCTTTGTGTTTTTCTATTCTTTCTGTCTTGCAGTATTACTCTTATGCTTCTTTGCCTATATAGCATTTAGTGCTCAAGTCACACTCACAGACATACACTCGTGCACACACAGAGCAGCATTTTAGCATGCTTTGCATGGAGAACGAGGAAGCACTTTGTTATTATTGCATTTACTGACCTGACTGCTACAAACACAGAACTACAAACAACTCTGCCTCCCAGTCCTGAGTTCACAATGGAATAGGAGGCTCACATCTGTGCTGCTTAGCTAATAAACCTCAGAGCAGAGGGAGCTTCTAGATGTGGGCCACAGTCACTTACGTGCTTTGATTTATGTAGCTTCAGTGCAGTACTTCAGTTACAAGGCTGTTGAGAGAGGAGTCATCTTTGATGGGAGCATGGAGGAGCACGGAGGGTGTCTGGATCTCTGGCACACACCAGAGGCCACTGGCAGCAGCAGGGCCCAGAGTTCCTGACATCTCACCTTCTAAATAATCCTCTGCATTGCTGAAGTTTCTAATTATACTATCCTGAGGCAGTCACTGCTCTGGTTGCCATTAGCATTTAACAGCGTAGCATATTCTGCCATGCTTTGGGAGCAGTGTTAGTGTGAAGGCTCAAGGAAAATTAGAAGTAGAAAATGAGGAGTATCTCCCAGAAAATGCCTATTGTTCTTTGAACAAAGGAGGTGGCCATAAAGAAATTTCTCCTTCATTTCAGACTCAGCTAAAAGCGTTTAATAATGGCATTCCTCACATCAGTGAAGTCCTGATTGAGCCCACTGTGAAGTGAGGGGACTCGGGTTAATTCTCTCAGATCAGTTTCATGTTGGTACAGCTGAGTTACCTGACATGATAGGATTCCTTTAGATCAGGAAGGGGAGGAGAAATAATTTGTTTCTTTCTGGGAGTGGGGGCAAGGATTTAGTATTTAAAGCTGTGTGTTGTGTGTGCACACCTCCAAGTCAGGATGAGAAAGGATATGCACTTCTTCGGGGAGGAAACACAATAAAACAACAGAAAGTGTATTTTAAGTTACCCAGTCAGCTCCCTGGCAAGACAAGATGATATTCAACAATACATAATAAGGTAGTGTTTGCATAGCACGTATAAGATGCTTTACAATGTGCTGTTTAGCTTCGATATTATAAAGTAGCATATAAATATGCTAAAACCTAGCTGTATTGCCTGCCGCTTTCTGAAATGCCTTTCACCGTGTATCACTGCTGCTTGTCACATGGAACAAGCACAAAACCATCTGATTCCAGAAGCAGTGAACTTCTTTTTTAAAAGCTAGTCACTGTTTTATGGCACCGGTTACAAGATCCAGCTCTTTTCACACTGGGGCAGGCATTTGAATCCAGCCCAGGTTGGTAGTGAGGTCTGTTGAGTGACCTATGTGAACAGAGTTTTTGGTTGCAGCCCAGATCCTGATGGAAGGATGCCCAGGCTGCTGGAAGGCCCGTACCTGCTGGCAGCACCATTAGCAGTGTCAGAGCGGGAGCCCACAGCATGCTCCCTTGGGTGGTCTCAGGTCAGCATTGAAACACACTGGTGATGGTGACACAAGGTCACCTGCATTGCTGTGTGTGCAGAGAACACACTTGCCTGAGAGCACTAGTGGGTTATGAGGTTGCTGCTAGGGGGTGAGCGCTCAGAAAAGTTAAGCCCACTATCTGACCTCAGCTTCAGCTCCAACATACAGGGCTTGTATGTAATTCTTGGAGTGAATGAGGGATTTGTGGAGTGTTACAGCACTGGGAGAATAACAGAAAGTAGAGTGCACTCATCTGAGGATGAAGCAGCCTTCCAGTGTCTGAAGGGGGCCTACAAGGATGCTGCTCTTCATTAGGGTGACAGGGCAAGGGATAATGGTTCAAACTTAAACAGGGGAGATTTAGGTTAGGTGGTCCCTTCCAACCCAGACCAGTCTGGAATTGTAAGATAATTTAACATTGGAATCCCCAAGAAGGACGTGGTGAATTCTCCATCTCTTGCAGCCTTTGGATGTCTCATTCCGGAAGAGATGCCAGAGCCCAGGCAGTTGTTAGGATTTGATGGGGAAATGACTGTGTGACGTTCTTTGGTTTGCTATGCTTAAGAGTTATCCTGAGTCATCTTCGTGAGCTGGCCTTAAAACGGGGAATCAGGTGACTCTGGTGGAAAGATTGACGTGTGGCAATATTTACTCCAGAGATTTTATTGTTGGCAGTAAAGTGTCCTTGTGTTTATCTTTTAATAGCTGTAGGCTTCGTATCTGAACTCGGGGCTCTTTTAACCTCTGGGGTCAGTACTCTCACCTGAAGGCTCTGAGCACCTCCTGCATGCCAGCGTGGCTCCAGCTTTGTGTTGCACACAGGACCCTTAGATGACAAGCCAGAAGGTGCCACAGCATCTCACCCCCACCTCTGCCATCATGTCCACAGGTACACTTGTATTGCCTGACAAGAAGACACGTAAATCCCAACTGTCAGGAAACAAAGCAGTTTTTAAACTTTAACGAGCAGAGTAATGGAAATCAAATACAAAGGAAATGAAAAAAAAAGGACTAAAATGTTTTTTATTTTGGTGTTCTGCAGGGAGAAGTGTGTACACTAAATAATAAATAAGCCCTGCAATGTTTTTACAGCTTCTTTCGTATGCGTGAATATTTAAAACATGCAAAAACATGGAATAGGCATTTACTGAGGACAAAAAGAGAGAACTGGTTTTCTGTACAGAGAGCGAGATGGGGAAAACAGAGAGATGCATGTTTAATGGATTGCTGTTCACAGAAGGGAGAGATTTCCAAGTGTGAACATATTTGTAGACAAACCAATCTGACAAGTTCGCTTGGGGATGATGTATTACAGCAGAATTGGCCTGGGAAGCAGAATTTTGTTGTGAGGGTGTTGGCTGGTGTCAGCAATGCCTGCTGGGGTTTGGCAGCCACACTGTCAGCGCTCCCAGCTACCGTGGGGCTGCTCAGGCCGGGGCTTTGGTACCCAAGAGGTCCTGGTCATGTGCAGCCAGCAAAAGACAGCTTAATTTGTTGAGAAGACTCCAGAGAGACCTTAGAGCAGCTCCAGTGCCTAAAGGGGCTGCAGGAAACCTGGACAAGGGCCTGTAGGGACAGGCCAAGGGGAATGGCTTGAACCTCCCCAAGGGGAGACTGAGCTGAGCTCTTAGGCAGAAGCTCTTCCCTGTGAGGGTGCTGAGGCGCTGGCACAGGGTGCCCAGAGAAGCTGTGGCTGCCCCATCCCTGGCAGTGCTCAAGGCCAGGTTGGACACAGGGGCTTGGAGCAAGCTGCTCCAGTGGAAGGGGTCCCTGCCTGTGGCAGGGGTTGGAGCTGGAGGAGCTTTAAGGTCCCTTCCAACCCAAACCAGTCTGGGATTCTGTGATTATCATTGGAGCCAGAGAGGATCAATAACTGTGACCCCTTAAGCTGTTTTGTAAGAGGGGGAGAGCGAACACAGGAGAGCTGTGGGTGCAGCTCTCTCTGCCTGCTGCAGACCTTAAAGGCACAGTATTTCCTTCAGCATCGATAGCTCCTGTGTGAAGTGCAGTTGCAAAGCACACTCCGCAGGTGTCAGAAACCTGGTCACAGCTCTAGGCTCTTTTATCAAGTGAATGCCAAGGGCAGCCCTACACGGGCTTGTCTTCGCTCTGTGATGGATCTCAGGAGGTCTGGGTTCAGCTTCCGTTTCAGCCACAAGACCTTAGGCTGATCACTTCCTTTGTGTCCTGTCCCCACTCCCATGAGTGGGAAGATGTCCTGGTTTCAGGACTTAGCATTTCATGAAGGGCTGGTTCTCACTGTTGGTATTGGCAGCACTGACTGCAGTGAAGCCCCAGTGTTGACTGGGTCTTCCCTGCAGGCAGAGGAAGGGATGCTGGTACTGTCATGGAAAGGGCAGGGTATTTTCTCAGTAATAAGGAAGGTGACAGACTAGGGAAGTGTGGCCTAGGAGTTTATCAGGGACTTTCTCCATGGCTAGCTTGGCTCCTATCTTTGTCTTTGGAAGTAGCTGAAACCAGAGAAAAAGAGGCCTGTTGCCACAACTGGCAAGGGCTCATTATTCACTATTCCATGGCTTATGGTTTAATGCTTCTTTAACTGGACGTTTTTTTTTTCCTCCTGACGTTTGATTTCTTTTTGCCAACTTTATATTTTAATGCATGTTTTTATGGAAATATTTATAGTGCACATGTTGCGTATAAAACACCATCATAAAGCTTTTTTTCTTCAGTCCTGTTGAAATAAATGATGTTATTATTATAATAATTTCATAGGGTTATATCTGTTCTGTAATGAAAAAGACCTGTGGCTGCTTGAGCCATCAACCCAGCAGTTTTTACAGCTTTCTGTAGCTGGAGTGACCTCATGGAGCTGCTGAAACTTTTAAGAGACTCCATTTCCCAGCAGAGGAGGGCATACAAAGCAGAATGAGCAGATAGGAGAAGAGAAAGGACATCTGCATGCAGCCATACAGCCTGGCTGAGCCCTGGTCAAGAAGCCAGTGTTGCCTTTATACTGCACACAGGGAGGATGCCAGTATTTACTTCCTGAGTGTTACCTGCATGTGGGATAAGGTTTGCTCCTCGAACTCTAAAGAACCGTTTTCAGGCCAGGAGCCCTACCTCGTGGTGTCTGGTAGTGCTGGAGGATGGAGTGTGTAAAGGCCTTCTGAACATGAGTCCACTGCTTAAGCTGCAGACTTCTTGTCTGCCTTCAGCTTCGCAGACTCTGAGTTGCGTTTCTCAGCAAGGATGTATGTAAATACATGTTGGCAGGTTGTTGCACTCGGCCTGGGGAGTGAGTATCAGAATAGGAAGATAGGGACTAAATATGTAAGCACCTGTTTGTGTAAGTCCATGTGTGTGTGCGTGCAGGGACTCACAAGCTTTAGTGATGCATTTGCAGAGGTTCAGGCAAACAACTGTAAAGTACTGTGGATTTAGAGGAGGTTTTAAAAATTAATACTCAAACATGAAAATGCTTTATACAAGAAAGAAACCTTTTAGGAACTTTTGCATCCTAGGAAAAGCAGTAATGAATAATTCAACCCTGCACCAAGGAAACCGATTTGCTGAACAAGTGTAAAATAAATCTGAGGTTGAACTAGTTCAGATCACCTAAATTGAGAATCTAGCTCAGAAATGGTAAAAGTAGGTACAGCACGAGAGCCTTGGCAAAGCCAATAAGCTACAGTCCCATGAAAGGTGATGAGATTCAATCCTGTGCTAGGAGAGCTTTGCTACTTAGACCTGATTTGCCTGTAGATTAGGATCCAAGTTTGTTCTCTTTAGAATGCTCTGTCCTATTTGTGGTATCTTCAAAAAAGAACAGAAAAAGAATAGAACAAGGAGAAGGTAGAGACGGAATAGAGCAGAAGATGAAACCAGAGCTGAAGTGTTTAGAGGGTGAATGGAGAGAAAAAGTGGAAGCTGTTTGGATTTGGTCTGAGCCTCCATATAAAATGTTTTATATGTTCACAGCATTGAGCCTGATTTACTCTCTAGTTTTCATGAATATCACACTCTGGGCATGTATTATCCCACTTTCTATGCTCAGGTATGTGAATTGCCAGGAGCCTAACTCTCCCTTCAAGGATGGGATCTGTCCATTTACTCCTAACAATGCTCTGGAGCTTCCTTCCCGGCTGTGAGTGAATCAGATGCGAGTGAAGTCACTCTGGGTGAAGACCTTTGCCTCTAGCAAAGGCTGCTTAAGGTCACCCATGGTTTTCTGGAAAGGACATGCCTCTGTGGTGCTTATCCTAGAAGGCCCACACTTCAGCAGTCACCTTCTCTTTGACCTTCATGGTAGAGCTCTGCATCGGTGGGGTGAGGAGGAGGAATTCACAGGAGAGAGGAACAGTGTTTTCTCACTTGACAGTTTACTTCAGACACAAATTCGTTTGCTGCCCTTGAAGCAACCCGGTCAAGGCTGTGTGGTCCAGTTGGAAGCCCAGTCCTGTTTCTGATTCATACGAGGAGCTCGGCATAGAGTGAGCCCTTTCTCTGCCATGCCATAAAAGAGCTGGGTTTTGCGTAGTGCACTTTGGAATGAGCCCCTCCAAGGAACAGGCTCCATAAAGTTTTTATAACTCATATTTTATAAGGTATAGTGAGTTGGGCGAAAGGAGGTTTTCTCATGTGTATGTGTGTGCATATGAATGAGAGCTAATACACAAGTAATTCAGCCTGGCAAAGGAGGCTGGACCACAGTCCCAGTCTCTGTGTAAGTTGGCCCTAGGATGTGGATGAGAGTAAAGTCTGTGGGGAATAGTACAGCAGTGGTCAGAGAGATGTCATAAACCCCTGTCATTTTCATAGCAGGAGCAAGAACTCTCCTTGTAGTGGCCGACCGTGTCCTTGAGTGATGTATGAGGATCTCACCAGTGAAGGACCAGCTTCACCTAACCCATTTGGTGAGTTTGAAGAATTTCTTGTGAGAAACAGACAGTTCTCTTGGTATCAGGTGTTTAAGCCTTACTCTGATGGTGTAGGTCCATCAATGCACGCCTGCTGTGGGAGTATAAAAGAGAAAACAACACTGAATTGCTTCTCTTTTCTTTCCAAAATGGACATTCACCCCAGCAAACCCCAGAGCTTTGGTAACTTGGTGCATCTTTGAAAGCTGAGGTCCTTGTATGAAAGACATCTTTTTGGTCTCATGGGCTCCATAGTAAGTTAACTTCTGTTTGGCATTTTTTTCCATCAAAGATTCAGATTAGAAATGTCTGCAGACTGTCGGTAGAGAAACAAACCTTGGCTTTACTGCTCAGAGCAGCCTGGTAGCTGTGGCACTGGTGTAAAGCATGGGCAGGGATTTCTAACCAAGGGAAACTGGTTTTTCTCATGTTGCTTTGGACTCTGCATGGCCTGTATGTTCAGCTGCTAAACACAGCTGTGAGGGCACAGCTCAGGAAATCCAGAGGGTAAGGCTGAGGGTGCAAGGCTGCTCATGGCTGACCTCAGGAGGTGAATCCTCCTCTGTGGTCAGTGGGTGGGATTCCTCCATGGAACATCAGCTTGTGCAGTTAGAAGTTCTGTCTGGGGCAGAGACTGAACCACACAGTGCTGTGCAGAAACTCATCCGTCTGTGCACAGGTTCTCAGCTTTCCATGTTTCAGGTTCTCCTATAAAACACAGATTTTGCTTGTAGGACAAACGCCTTTGGGGAATTGCTTGGAAAACCCACCATCAGATTCACATTGATACCGTCAGTGAATGCAAGCATGGAGTAATCCTGAATCAGGCTCCATCATATTGTGACATACCAAAGCCATATAAAACTGTTTTAGAATTTGAATTGTAAGGAGTCTTATGATCAGCTTTGATGGCTAGAAACTTCTCCCCCTTCTCCATCCCTTTGGCTGCAAAGGGGACCACGAGCCTGTTGTATTGCATGACTCTTGCTCCCAGTGTTTTGTAGTTTAAAAAAACCCCAACCCAAAAAACATCATTCTGCAACAGTAATTTAGACATGGTCAGGACTTGAGCAGTTGTAAGGAATATTACCTGCCATAAAGTTTGAATGGTGTTGAATTTACAGAAAATGCCTGATGTAAAATCATACTGTCAGGAACAATTAGCCATGGTGCATAAAAAACCCCTTACAGAGATTACACTTCCCAGATTGTTTTACAGAAAAACTTTGTGTTAATGTTATGCTTTGAATGCCTTTTGCCATGAAACATTTAAGAAACAACAGTTTATAGTCTCTGATCTTTATGGTTTGGAAGAGTGAACACTCTCCTCCTGTTAGGCCAAATTGATGTTTTAAATTCAGGAGAAACCCCATCATGTTATAAAAAGGAGAGAATGTCCTAAGAAGAAAGTGGTCAAATCATTCCAAGATGTTATGGGTTTAAAGGGGTTTTTTTTCAGCTTTTTTTCCTACGGAAAAATTTTCATGATCCTGGGCATATGGTCAAAAAACACACAAGTGAGGTATTTTTAGACAAGCACATTTGGGATAAAATTACCGGCTCCAGCGTGTGCAGGGACAACCTGGTCTGTCCACAGCGAGGTGGGTGCAGGAGGGTGTCCCTTCTCCGTGCTGGGGGACTGGACACTGGTTCTGCTGCAGCACGGTGCTCCTGCTTGGGAAGACAGAGTGAGGGGGGAAGTCTTTTCCTTCTGCATTGTCTGAGCTCTTGTGTTTTCTCTGCAGGGATTTGCTGCCCACCTCAGCACTGGTGGAAAAGCAGAACTGGGAACAAACAAGTGCCTGCCCAAAGCAGGATCACTCCATCCATGTTTCCTGCTCTCTGCCATAACTGTGACAGTGAAAGGGATGAGAAACACTGCTGCCAGGCAGGTGAGGAACCTTCCTGTCCCCTCACACCAAAGGGAGCTGCAGGCATGGAACAGCTCTCACCCACTTTTAGGGTTCAGTCACCATCCATCCCTCCGTGCATCCCAGCCAACAACCCCTGTGCATCCCTGGGGCCCAGCCCTGCAGCTCAGACTCATTTGAATGATTCAGGGTCCAAGTTGCAGTTCTTTTCCAGCCCTGTCAGCACTGCAGAGCCAAGGCATCCCTGGCAGCTCAGGCTGGATTCTGTTTGGCCTCACGCATCATCACCAGTCTTGCCAGTTAATTCAGGCGGAGGGTGATGATGTGTGAGGTAGAAAAAGCACAGCCTGGCCTTCAGGTGCTGGGCACAGTCACCACAAAGGCAGTCAGGAAAGTGCTGTTTCCATTCCTGCACTTGAGCAAGCGTGACCTGGGAATCCTTGAGGCTGGAACAGATCCTGGACCTCAGTGAGGTTTACTGCTCGGCCACAGATGTATCTGAATTACTGAGAAGCTGCCCTGGGAGCGGGTTTGTGTCACTGTGGGCTGTGCTAACACCAGGACAGCACTGCCAGCCCAGGTGAGGATCCTTAGCAAAGAGAGACCTTTTTGAGCCTGGTAGACTCATGGATGCCTGCCAGCAGCCTTGCCTAGCCACTGAGTGAGGGTCACCTCCCTAAATCCCTATGGCCAGCATTGGGGCTTTCTTGTTGAGCACCCTGGAACACGCTGCTGCAGGACAGGTTTCCTGCAGCAAACCCCTTTGTCCCCTTCTCTAGTGGAGGAGGCAGATGCCCCAAGCCTCTGCTGTGCCCTCCCATGCACCCCCAGCGCCAGGGTGCTCAGGAGGGACACATCAGGTTTGTTCTGTTTAAGGGGTGCCTTAGTCTTGATGGATGTATGGCTATTTTAGGAGTGGCCAGCATTACCCTGGTATTACACTAATAAATGCATACCAGGATGAACTCTGTGCGGCATTTTCAGTTCCCACTGCCCCATATTAGGAGACATGGGACCAAAATAACTGCAAAAGCCTATAGCCATGCAAAGAACACAATATGAAATGCAGACCAGGAAACAGACTGAGGCATGATCATCAGTAATGCCCAAAAGTCATAATCCACAGAGTTTCTGGCAAGACTGGAAAAGCAAACCACACAAGATCCTGGAATACATGTGCAGGTATGCACTGAGTTTATTCTGGCACAAACCAAAGTATGGACCTAATAAAAAGTCCACATGTCTGACATTGTGTGCTGTTCTTTTGAACTGACAGAGAAAGGGATTATCAGGATGGTGACCAAACTACATTAGGTTTTGGATTTGTGGATGAATAAGCCAGACATTGGCCTGCCTATATGTATTGTCAGTGGTTGATGGCATCCCATGCAATCACAGCCTTACAAATACTCATATGCATGTAAGAAGGCCAGTGTGAGTAGAACCAGTGAGTCATCATTGTAAATCATCATTCTTTGGTTTGTAGGTTCAGGTTTGTATCCAGCTGAAGGAAAAGGGTGAGAAGGAAGGTATATATCCATGAGGAGAATGAAAGTTTAGAGAGGAGTCTTTTTTACATATGGTATTTAGAGTGGCTCATGCTGCTCAGAAGGGCCAGGACTTGATCCAGAGCTGATAGCGATGCCTTTCCACTGACTTTCAGGGAATCTGGATCTTTTCGACTAGTACTGACTGCTTGTGACGAGCTTGGTGCTCAGGCAGTGATGTACACACAGAAAATCAACCCTAAGCTCTCCTGGAAACGCTCCTGTTTGCTCTTCTGTGATAAGTTTACTTATAGACCCTAAAAATCTCATCACAGAAGGCTTCACAGGATGCATGGTGGGACTCTGAAACCCCAGATACCTCAGTTGTACTTGTTTGTAAGACTTCAGACGGCAGTCAGGCACTATGCCTTTAAGGTGGATTCCTCTGAGTAAAGCTGAAGTGCCAGGAGTACTTCTTTCAACTCCAGATGATGTGATATATTAGTTTGGTCTCAGAAGCCACAGTGTTTCCTTATTGATGTAGCTTTGATCTAAAAAGCTGTTTATTTATGTTTTATTGAACAATAAAACATCCAGTAAACATGGCCTATGCTTTTTTTATGTTCTACATGAATTCTGTCATGAAAATGTCAAGAAAAGTAATGAAGATCTTTACTGTGGTGTTGCTGCTGGTGTCTTCCTTTGGAAGTTCTTATGCTCTGTGTTTCTGTTCATCTGACTGTAAAATTCATAAGGCCTGCAGATGTCCTGCCTGCTGAGCATCTGGAGGAGAAGGAAGTTTTTCCTTATGAAATCCCAATGGATACGCTACTGAGGGCATTATGAGAATATAATGATTTGACATTTCTCTTTGATGCCACTTGATAGGGTCTCTATTGTGATTATCCAGAGGTATTAATTATTGTGGTGGAAATTACTTCCTGTGCTCAGCTACTTGTGTGATGTTCCTGCTATAGGGAATATTCCTTATCCACAGTATCTCACAGCAGCCAGTGAGCTACAGGAACTCCTGGTCAAAACCTGGGGCACAGGCTCTCAGCCCTAATTGCACTGGATCCCTGCAGTGAGCATGGTAACAGATCCCAGGTTTTTAGAGTATCAGTAATATCCCAAATTTCCTACCAGTGCTGCCTTCCTTGTTATGGTGTTAGCAGGGATGTTTTAATAGAGCTGAGAAAGAAATCTGTGAATTCTGCATGGGCCTGATAGTTCTGCACGCTAGGGTTAGGGTTAGCAGCAGTGAAGAATTAACCTTCTCTGGTAATCAGCGACGGGGAGGCCCAGGTGCTGCAGGTTGGTCACTGGCTGTGATAGCCTGGGGAAGGCAGCTGTGGGTTGAGTGCTGGGCCAGGAACTTCTCATAAAGCTGTGAAGGTGCTGCTTCTGCCTTTTCCCTCCTCCTCTTGCTGTAGATACTCTGTGCTCCTGCAGCTTTTGCTGGTATGGTTGGTCCTTTCCTCTAGGAACCCAGAGAGCTTTCTTGCCTCTGCTGCAGGTGGACCATAGGAAGGTGATGGGGATGTCAGGAGTTAGTACACTGCCTGACTATCACAAACTGATGCCGGCACCATGTCTCACCCTTATTTCAGTAGCACAGCTGT